TTAGTTTTTTTTATATTTATTTTGTGTATTTTTATTTTTTTTAATTTATCTTGGCCAAAAAGACACTAAATTGAGACCAAAAATCAAAGTGGAACTAAATTGAAACAAACAATTATAATAAGGGACTAAATTAGGTTTTTAGCCTTTTAAAATTAAATATTAATAATTAAAAATAATTTCATATCAATATAAATTATAAAATCAACACATTTTGATGCAGGGAGAGAATTAAAACATATGATTTCCAACTATTATATATGCTATAGATTATGATTATCATCAACTACTGATGTCCAACAAAAATAGTCCAATTTACAACTAGTAAATCAAACTTCCTCGTGCATCAACTTTGTTGCAGTCAAGCGATTGATAAGTTGAATATTTTATTCAAGATTAATGATTTTGAAGATTGAATCTCCATAACTTATTTAAATCTAGCTAAAATTACACTAGTAGATAGGTCACTTATGCAAATACATTTTCTACTTGACACTGAATGAAATTTGCCACCAGCAGCAAGCTTATCACCACAATGTCTTGAAACAGAACCAGGAGTCCATTGTGCTTCCAGCAACTTGTATCTGCCTTCCACTACAGCGACAACGTCCACCATGAACTCAAGCAGTAGAACCTCGAGTTTGACAAGTTTATTTTCTGCCAAAGTGAATGAAGACTGACCCCAATTTCAGTGTCTAAACTTTCATAATCCTACATTGTCCAATGGAGTTGCAAAGATAAGTGACAAACTCTGATGACTAACCTTCATCTATTTATGCCTGTCACTATTGGTTTAACATAAAACTTACATATATACAAGTTAATTTTTTTTCAATTGCAAAAGTTAAATTAAGCAAAATCATTAGATGTTAAAACTTTTGGCAAGTTAGACTTAAAAAGATCAAGAAAAGCATCGATATGGATGCTAGAATTTCCATAATAACTAGAATAAGAGAAGGATATAATATATACTTTCATGCATTTTTGTAAGGACTATTTGAAACTCCTATGTGATAGCCTCTGTATACTTATTCTTTATATACTCCATCCACTTAATTAGCATAATCAAATTGGACATCATGCACCAAATCACTAGCCACCAAATAAATATCATGAAACAACATAACTACAAGAGAAGCCATGAAAACTGACCAGAAAAATACTCTGGTACCAATAACAAATACTTCCCATTGTGTTCTTCACGGCTCATCAAAATATCAGTGGACAACACACTAATGATATTAGGCAGTATTGGATAAGCTACGAGATTAGGCAATAAGTTTTATTTTACAACACACTTGATATATATCATTTTTAAATTTATAAAGAGATTAGGCAATAGAGTAGCTCATAATAACACTGATGGAAAACTTGCTTGGAGAATCCGGATTGATGTGAATCCTCTTCAAGTTCCTCCCTAGATCTTTGGCTCCTTGATTCTTCCTAGGCTTGGCTAAGGTCTCCAAGGGAGGAGGAGACCTTAGAACCACCACGGTTTGGTGGAGAACACTCCCAAGAGGCGCCACTCCTTGATGAAGAGATAAGCCACTTCAATTCTCACCACACTCTTCTATGAAGGGATAAGAGAATTGGATGAATATCAAAGAGATTTAGGGACTTTAAGAAGAGAGAAATCTGAACAATATTTCATAAATGAAATCTCAATACATCCAAAAGTGTTTTACAATGAAGGAAAAACGAAAATATAGGAGTAGGAAGCTTGGAGAGCAAGCTAGTCTTAACCATGGTTCACTAGGAACCATGGTAAGGTCTAGCTAACCATCCATGGTCTAGAGGCTTGGAGAGCAAGCTACTCACTTAGCTTGCTTAGTAAGCAAGCTAAGGAGAAGCTTGTGCTTCAAGCTTCTAAGCTTGAGAAGAACCAAGCAATTTGGCCAAGTGTGAACACAAGTGTGAACACATCTAGGTGGGTGGCTCTTTGGAATTAATTTACTCCAACCGGTTTTGAAATTGTTAATTTGGTTTAGTTAGGTTCATCCAATGTGAATGGAACCTAGCTAAATCAAATCTATGAAAAATTAGGAGTAAAATGAGTCCAATATGTAAATTTTAGCCTAAGACCACCTCTTGGCTAAATTGCTAGTAACACTCTCTAGCTTGCTAATAGCACTCTCTAGCTTGCTAATGCCACTCCCAATCCTACTACTAGAAAACTAAGAAAAGAGTGTATTTCTAGGTTAGGTTAAATGGAGTCAAAGTGCCCAAGTAACCTACCCTAGAAACAATATACAATAGCTACTAAAAAGGAAATAAAGTGCCTCACAAATACAAAGGCAAAAATACACCTATACAAGTATCTACTATATACAAGGTACAAGAAATCAAACTATACAATATATTTACAATAGAAACTATGAGACTAAAAAGAGGAATCATACTCAATACTCATATTGAGCATAGGTCTAAGAAGCACCTCCTCTATAGAAGCTTCCTCTAGCCTCCTAACCATAGACCTAGTTAGAGGCCTAATGGTCTTCATGGGTGAGCCTCCTTGGATCAACCTTCACCTTTCTTGGTCTTACCTCTTCCAAATGGATCCTTGGGGATTAGATTTCCATCAAACACTCAAATGTTATACCACCAAAAACAGGCTTAACATAATAACTAAAATAATTGTTTATGTGAAAAACAACTTTGGTCCATTCCATAAGCTACATAAATTATAGGTGAGATTGTTTGAAGCAAAATAGATTTGTGCTTCAAATGGATTTGGGGCTGTCACTCCATACATATATTGGTTGTTGTGCAGATCTGTATGCTCCTTCATCATATAAGCTGTTGAGGGTGAGAGAATCCAATCCACCAGCCTGATATTCAATGATAAACATAGATGAAGCTATTTCACAAATGTTACTCAATTTTATCAAATAATCTAGCACATGAATATTAGCTCATGATTCTTTTTAACAACCATATAAACGAGTGTTAATATGATGTCCAAAAGGAAAGGAAACACTGGTAGTAAATCATACTTTTAGTTGCTAAAATTTGGTTGTTAAAATTTATTAGCAAACCAGAAGATTGCTTCAATTGGAAGTTAGATGCTCCACCTCAGGACAAGTTCAAGTATAACACAAACCCAAGTTCTTTATTCAGGATTTGGCGTTGCTACAAGGGAATGACAAGCTAATTGGATAGGAGGCTTTGCAGGATTTTGTGACCAACCTGAAACAAAGAACATAATGGAAACAACTCACCTTCATGCTCCTTTGTTGGAGAAGATCTGATCCTCGCCCACAAGAGACTGGTCTCTATTTTTTCAACAAACATTCAAATAGGATCAAATTATATACTGCAAATATTGCACTCTTACTCTCATTTTAGAAATTTCAATCATGGGTTGAATCATTGAAAAATGGATATAAAGAACAAAGAAAATACATTTTTGGAAAACCAAAAATATTTATAAACACTGCAAATAAAGTACAAACTAGACAATAATGGGTAACAAGAGGCATTTTTACATAATGTACAATCACCCAAAAGTATAGACATCCTAGGAAAATCTGAAACTGCAAAATTAACTAGAGTCAGTATTCTAATCCTTGGAATGAGTTGGAGCTAGTTGACGAGAAAATCACCCAAGTCCATCTCCATGTCTGATTCTGAATAATTAATGTCAGAGAAGTCAAGTTCCTCACCAAACAGAGATGTAAAAATGTCCAATATGCTCCTTTCATGATCCTTCTTAATTACTTTGCCTGAATCAGCATTGACAGGAGAAATGCAATGGCCTTCCTGTCCAGTTTGTTTTGTGGGACTAACAATAACAAGTGGAGAGGCTGTTGGACATTTTGAATCATTCTTCACAATATATCCATTTGAAGATTCTCAATGGAAGCAATTCATGGTACTGTACCATGGTCTATGCTAGTCCCCACATCCAGGGACGTGTTCAACTTTGGAAGGATCTTTGTACGATTGCTACTTAGGTGGATGGCCCATGGAACCTGATTGGAGATTTTAATGTTGTTCTGCATTCTTATGAGCGTCAGGGTGGCTCGCCTGGTTTGTCAATTCGGGGTGACAATGCTTTTCGAGAGTTTGTTAACCATTGTAACCTTATAGATATTGGCTATCAGGGTGCTCCCTTCACTTGGCATAGAGGTCTTCTTTATGAACGTCTTGGTTGATCCTTAGTCTCTTACGATTGGCATATTAGCTTCCCTGATGCGTCTCTCATTCATCTCAATCCTTTCAAATCATAACACTCTCCCATTTTACTTCGTTTTGGCTTAGATGAGAATCTCAGAAGAAGAAAGAGACCATTTCGATTTGAAGCTGTGGATGATCCATGAAACCTTTCAAGGTCTTATGCAACGAGAATGGCATGTTGAACAAAATTGAAACCACAAAGTTGATCATATGAAAAAAGCCTTGTTGAATTGGAATAGTTACACATTTGGAAATGTATTCCATGCTAGGTATGTTTAGCGTTGTTATAATATTAAAGTTGAACTTTTACTTTGATATTATGTATTTATATTTAATGTAGATTTTATTAATATACATTATATATATATATATATTATTGAAATAAAAGTCTAACTTTAATAAGAAAATAACATTAATTATATCTTAATAATTATACATAAGTTTTTTTTATCTTTTGTTGATTAAATTTTATTAAAAATTTTAAAATTAGGTGAGAAAGTTACTAACAGGTATGACACTATCCAACTTTTAATTTTTTTTTTAATTTATAAATTTTGATTAATAGAAAATATATTTAAAAGAGTGTAACAAAAGAATTTGTTTGCTGCATTTCTTATAAAAAGAAAAAAATTTATATTAACTTTTTTAATGTTGTGATAGATTACAGAATAGAGTGTGTGTTTGGTTTAAAAAAAAATCACGTTTAACGTTAAAATTAATTATAACTTTCACGTTAAATGTAATTTTTCACGTTTTAAACGTGAAATCAAACACGATCAAAATTATTAAATTAAATTAATGAGTGTGACGCAGGGGCAGAGCTAGTGCCTAGTGATGGCCGCCAAACGCCACCCAGTACGAAACAAAACAACATTCCTTATTCCAACAAACAAACAAACCTTCTTTCTTTCCGTTTTTGATCATAGAAGAATACGAAGAAGAGGGTTTGAAGAATAGAATAACAGAAACAATGGGCACTCTCGAGTCATGGAGAAGAGCCTACGGCGCTCTCAAAGACTCCACCAAAGTCGGTCTCGCTCATGTCAACAGCGATTACGCGGTCACTCCCTAATCTCATTCTCATTCTCATTTCCATTTTCCATTTCATTTTACTTTTCCTTTGATTCTAAATATCATCTTTATTGTTAGGACTTGGACGTTGCCGTAGTCAAAGCCACCAACCACGTCGAGTGTCCTCCCAAAGAGAGACACCTTAGAAGTCACTGTCACTCACAAATCAGAATCCTTTTTATTTTATTTTATTTTATTTTACTTATATTATATAAACGATGAAATTGCGTTTGTTGTCTGTAGAAATTTTGTTGGGAACTTCTGCGTCGCGGCCTCGAGCCG